TCTATTTAAGTTTTAAAATTAGTATATAAACTTGTGTCTTATAATTTAATCTTTTGTAAATTAGAAATTATTTAGTAATGTGGTTGATTAAAATTTATATTTTTTTTAGTATTTATTATTTTATTGAGTATTATTAATAATTTAAATTATATAATTTTTTTGTTTGTTTGTAAATAGGTCATTAAACGAGTTATACGTGTAACCCATTTAATAAATAGGTCGGTTTAGCGTTGAGAGTTCCTGACACAATTATTAAACGAGTCGTGTTTAGGTTGAGCTATTTAGAATAATACCCTTAAGTTAACAGGGCACGATTACGATCCGCGAACACGAATTGCCACCCCTAAATATAACTCATCCATTAAAAGAAATACATAAACAATATAATGAGATCACATGCTTCTTCTCTCATTAGGACTCAGACGACCACCTTAATTTCCTTACGATGGAGCCGCCTTATTCGACTTTTGTTTTAAGTTTGGGTTAATTACAACAACACTCCCTGAGATTTAACGTAATGACAGTTATATATAAGTTGAGCCTTTTTTGAATAATGACACCCCTTATGTTTGATAAAGTTAACAAAGACATCCTAGTAGTCGTAACAAACAGTAAATTGACATTATTACCCTTTAACACATTAAATTATTAATTTACCCAAAAACATTTCTTTTTAATTGACTACAATACCCTAAGACCCACCCCACTCGTACTAATAAACCAAGCACCCACACCCCATCACACCTACTGCCACCATTGCATAACTTCACCATAGCCACCACAACCTATATTATGAATGCCAAATTCTAGTCAATTAAAAAGAAACTTCACTGGCTGGTTTAATTCAATCTTTTGTTTCATTGTTGACTGTTGATTGGGTTCATTTAATCTAAACTTTGTTGAATAACATTTGATTAGTTTGTAGTTAGAATCTACGATGATCGTGGTTCAATTTAGATGAATTTATTTTGCCAAATTTTGTTGTGTTATGTAAAGTTTTTCATAATCTTAAAATTACTGATGTGCAGACCCTTTAAGTAGCAATGAGCACAATTTTTTTTTTTTGTAAATTCTTTTGCCAAAAATCTATTTCCATTTCCTGCAATTATTGGGTCATTTTTTGTTCCCCCAGTGTGAAGGTTGGTATATTTTAACAAATAATTGTTGAAAACATTTTATTGTATCAAGAAATCCGTTGGACAAGCGGATTCACATACCCTCATCTACATTGCCAGTGGCCAAGATGGATCATCTCCATTGACAATCCACGGTGGCGAAATTGACGACAACAGCGGTGTCGGTGGTGGTAAGTGGTGATTGGGTTGATTTTGATTGGAGATGTGAAAGCCTTTGTGGTTGTTGGGAAGAAGGTCAGAAGGGTCAGTAATCGCCGGCGGTAGATCAAGAGTCTCTAATGGCCATTAATCAATTGGGGTTTGATTGGAAACCTAGGCAGTGGTGAGTGGTGGTGGGTGAAATCAAAGGGGTGGGTTCTTTCTGTTGGGATATGTGTGCCCTAACATAACAAATTATTTTGGATTGTAAAAATCATGATTCTTTATCTGAATATTATTATTAAGGCATTATACAATTGGTGAATAAAATGTATTATTTTTCGATTCATTATGGAATTGATTGTGTTCACTTGATTATAAGATAAATTTATATATGTATCTAATGGCAATTAATACTAAGTTATAAATTAGTAATCATAAATGGTTCAAAGTCGGTAATTATGGATGGACGTTTAATTAGTTAAGACTTGAACTGAGTCCACGATAGATTGAGATATATTGCGAAAGCGGTCGTATGCAATTGCTCTCTATCACAGTTACGACTTTTGACTCTCAAGCATGAGAGAAGTATATACTCTTTTATTAATTAATAATTACTTTGATTTGTTCGGCAGATACCTCGGGATCCTTAGATCGGCACTTTGGGTAGTTATGTAATTAATAGTTAGAGGTTTATATTCTCAATATTTGCACCAGTGCTATTTGTATTTATTTTATTTTGATCATGGTTGATCACAAATTAAATTTGAAGGCCTTCGTATGTTTTAGACAAATATTTTCTATATATATTTATTTAGTAAATTACTATTTTTGTCAAACAAATATTTTATTGTGATCGAGCCATAAATAATTAAAGGTAACAAAATAATTATATTAATTATGTTGTCGGATTGATGACTTTAATTATCCGATAAATAATTATACATAGAGGGGTCAAAGTGCAACATTGACTTAGAGGTTATTTACCATTTAATTGGAGTGCAATTAATTTCTTTTAATGGAGTAGAAATTAATTTATGAATTAATTGAATTGGGTCTATGATTTAATGGACCAGACCAATTATTAATTTATAGTAGCCAAGAAAATAGTAGGCCTAGAGGATTCTCATCACTAGCCCAAGTTGATACTGGAGTCCTATTAGAATTGAGAAAATTGAATTAGAGATGGAGAATAATTTATTGTTTCATTTTCTTATTTTTATTTTGCCTTTATATACATGGGTCCATGTATATTTTAGGTGGGACTTTTAGAACAAGAAAAAGGAATACACTTTCTCTTTCTAGTTTTTAGGGCTTGTTTTCTCTTCTAAAAGAGGCTACCACAAGCCTTGATTCCAAGGTCATTCATCAAGACATATTGGTGATTTCTAAAGGTAAGATTATAATCAAAAAGAAGGAGAAATGATCTTACTAAGGGATCTACAATAAGTGAGAACATTTATTTTAGAGGAAAGATTAAAAGGTTACTCAGACATTTGATGTATTTATTCAATCTGTTAAATGAATAATACATCATCTTTTATTTATTTTTTTTGCATAAAACTTTTCTATATGTGATGAATCAAGATTTGTGTATGCAAATCCCTCAAAAGTTTTTTAAAACTTGCACGTTTCCCAACACTTTCTTGGGTTGTCTTCAATTAGGTGGCGGGCAGAGGTTGGGGAATTGGGAGTGGCAGCGTCAATGAGGGTGGTGGCGGTGTCACTGAGGGTGGTGGCGGCTGGTGCTCTCTCTTCCCCGCTGCTCTTCCTCTTATATATATATATATATATATGGGCAGTAATGTATAAAACGTATATATATATAAGGGCAAATTTGACTTTTCATGAGTTATAATATTTTACAATAAAAATAAATTAAATATTGAAGGGCAATCTCGTCTTTCCTAACATTTTAAGGACTTTTTTGGATCAAAATTATCACAGGGGGTGCCTTTGTTCAAAAAATAATTAAATTATATATAATTATCAATATGTCAAACTTCAAGAGGCGTGTCGTTGTAATTAACCCTTTAACTTTTATACATATACTCTAAATTAGAGTCTCTTGAAGCTATTCTTCAGCCTTTCTTATGAGTTGCATCCCATCGAAGCTTTCTTTGGCAATGTGGTGTTTTTATTTATTTATTTATGCCTTATTATCCTAGCCTTCTTGCTCATTCTCTATATGATTTTTTTTTTTTTTTGGCTTCAAACAAGATTGAGAGTCCCTTTTTTTTTTTTTAATTTTATTTTTTTAATTCAAATTAACAAAGACTTGAACTGTAGACTTACTTCTATTTTAGAATGGAAGGAAACACTATTAGGTCAAAATCCTTAACGTCCGCATTTGGCCGGACTCATCTCCTATTTCAAGTAGTACTTGAAGTATCCAACTTTATTTTTAAATTTTGAAGTTTTTTTTTTATTTTTTTTTTACTTTTCTATACAACATTAGATTGTAATTCTTTATTTTTCAATTTGAATTGAATTATATAAATTCTATTATAATTAGAAGGTATTTTATTACTTATATATATTGCTCAAGTTACTGGTTTTAACATCAATTTTAATAATTTTTGAAGGCTTATTAGAGTGCGAAATTGGTACCTCACACTCAACTTTTTTTGGTTGTGTACAGTACACATATATTCCCATTCATCTTGTATAGTCATGACACATTGACACACGTCTTTATCTTTTTCCACTTTACTATCATAAGATATAATAAATTCGTTAACTTGTAAGAAACCACTACGGAACGTCTTTTCCTTCTTTCCACTTTACAATCGTTAGATATAATAAATTCATTAACTTGTAAGTAACCACTACATACCCCGTCAACACATATGAACATAGCCACATACAGCACATAATAAAACCCAAATATTTGATATATATATAAATATATACATATGAACATAGCCGCATACAGTACATAATAAAACCCAAATATATGATATACATATGAACATAACCGCATACAGTACATAATAAAATCCAAATATATGACTTAATTTTCTGAAATTCTCACTACCTTAATTCTGACACTCTTAATCTCAAATTTATTTTTACTGTTACTTAGTTCGTCACTTTTTATTTATTTATGTATTTTTTTCTGTTTTTTCTTTCCGCTTCTCTTCTATTTTATCTTTTCTTCTTTCTACTTCTTCTTTCCACTTCTGTTCTATTTTGTCTTTTCAATGTTGACGGGACAAAATTTCACATGGGAACCCACCACCTTTAAAAAGCTAAACATTAATGGGAAGTCCAAAAAAATAAAAATAAGTAAAAAAAAATACCCCACAGACCATCCAAAGTTGTCATTAGTCCATTACATTTGACAAGTAGGTTATACAAGATGATTTCTAAACCCACGCACAAAGGTGGTCGTGTGGTCCACTTTAACACACACACCTGCAGAAAACATGGTCCTTGCAGTGGCCGTCAGTGCGTGAAGGACTATGAGTTTGTCCAATTTTTCCTAGCGTCATTGCTGAATCTTGGTCCACACATAGTCCTATGTATCAACGAAACCAAACAAAACACAGTCACATGCAGAGTGCTCTATGACTATCAGTTTATCCAAAGTCGCTTGTTCTTTTTAATATGCTTTTACCAACTCTCTTGTTTACACACCAATCACAATTCGTCGTATTTACTTGCATTTACTAACATGTCATAGAGTTCTCTATCATACAGTAAATTCTATACTTGTTTTCCAAGACACGATAGAGATAAATAAAGCTTTTCTTTTGTGTGAAGGACAAAGAAGAATAAGAGAGCAAATTAATTCAATGAACATATCTGTTCTTTTACCTTCTCTCTTGTTTTACAATTCACAATAGAGAGAGAAATAAAGCTCTGCTTTTTTGTGAAGGACAAAGAAGAAGAAGAAGAAGAAGAGAGCCAGCAAATTCAATGGACATAGCTCCGATGATGGCACCGATGAGGATGACGGAGATGTGGGCGATGATAGGCTCAACCATTGCCAGTTTCATGTTCTTTTGGGCCATCATAAGCCAATACTGTCCCTACGAGGTCCGTCACTACTTGTCAGCATATACTCAGAGAATCAAGGGCTACTTCTACCCCTATATCCAGATTTCAATCTACGAGTTCACCGGAACCCGGCTCAAGCGCAGTGAAGCCTACTCGGCGGTGGAGGCCTACCTCAGCGTGAATTCGTCCACAAATGCTAAGAGGCTTAAGGCTGAGATGGGAAAGGACAGCAGCAAGTTGGTTTTAAGCATGGACGAACATGAAAAAGTGACTGATGAATTTCGTGGCGTGAAGGTCCGGTGGGTTTTGACTAAAATCGTGTCACCGGCGAGGACCACGACGACGTTCTATCAGGAGCCGGAGAGAAGGTATTACAAGCTCAAGTTCCACAAGCGGCATAGGGAGTTGATATCTGAGGCTTATTTGGACCATGTATTGAAGAAAGGGAAGGAAGTCAGGATCAAAAACAGACAGAAGAAGCTTTACACAAACAGTCCTACTTATAAGTATTCATACGTCAAGAAGAGTATGTGGAGTCACATTGTGTTTGAGCATCCTGCAACGTTTGAGACAATGGCGATGGAGCCGGAGAAGAAGCAGGAGATTGTTGAAGATCTATTGACGTTCAGCCAGAGTAAGGATTTTTATTCAAGAATCGGGAAGGCGTGGAAAAGGGGATATCTACTTTATGGTCCACCGGGGACCGGGAAATCGACAATGATCGCTGCAATGGCGAATTTGTTGAGTTATGATTTGTATGATCTGGAGCTCACAGCAGTGACGGACAATACAGAGCTGAGGAAGCTTCTGATTGAGACTACGAGTAAGTCCATTATAGTAATCGAGGATATTGACTGCTCTCTTGATCTTACAGGACAGCGGAAAAAGAAGATTGAGAAATCTTCCGATGATGATGAAAATGAGAAGGCCAAGCAGGAGGAAATTGCTTTGGAAGAGGCCAGGGAAGCGATGCGAAGCAAAGTCACCCTTTCGGGGCTCTTGAATTTCATTGATGGGATCTGGTCTGCCTGTGGAGGGGAGCGGATTGTGGTGTTTACAACAAATTATGTGGAGAAGCTGGACCCTGCTCTGATAAGAAGAGGGCGGATGGATAAGCATATTGAGCTTTCCTACTGCAGTTTTGAGGGATTTAAAGTGCTTGCGAAAAATTACCTGATGCTGGAAACACATCCAATGTTTGAATCGATTGAAGGTTTGATGAAGGAGATTAAGATTACACCGGCTGACGTGGCAGAGAACCTGATGCCCAAGTCCCCGAGAGAAGGTGCAGAGAAATGCCTTTCGAACTTGATCCGAGCTCTTGAGGATGTGAAGAAGGAAGCAGCTGCCGCGCTTGTGATGAAAGCCGAAGAGGAAGTAAAAGACAAGGAATTGGAAGCAGCTGCTTCTGTGAAGAAAACTGAAGAGGAAGTAAAAGGCAAGGAATTGGAAAAGGAAGATGCTTAGTGATATCACCAAGATAAGCTAAACTACTATGAAATAACAACATAGTTATGTTATTCAAATCATTCTCATTTAGAATTATATGTTTACTTTTTGCAATGCTAATATCGGGGCTATAATGGTCTTTAGGTTTTTTTTTTTAAAATTAAAAAATATGTTAAAAAATGATGTCAATCTAGACATTTCAAGGCATTTTTAATATGAATGCAAAATTTTCACCAAGGTTTTTTAATGTGTCATAGAGGATAACCTCAAGAAATGTTGTTGCACTTTACCGAACATTATATATATATATATATATATATATATATATCTTCCTAATTTTTTATACATATGAAGGATGAACATCTTAAGAGTAGGGATAACAATGGAGCGGGGTGGGGCGGGGATCTCATTCCCCATCCTCAGTCAAATTTTTTACCTCCATCCCCGTCCCATACCCGTTTAAATTTCAACCCCTTCCCCCGTCCCCGCCACATTAGTCGCCATCCCCGTCCCACCCTGCCCCGCATAACTTCTTTAAAATTTTAATTCACCTTCAACAAAATTAACACAACTATAATATTTTTCAACCTAATAATTTAATAAAGCTTCGGCATAATTATAACAATTTAAAACATATCATTTCAACCCGATCAAATTTATAGCATAATCACATATAACATTTTTTTGGAATAGTCTGAAAATTTTCAACATGATCAATCAAAACAAATAACATTCTTCCAACAACGACTATGCTACGAGGGAATAGATCTAGGGCTTCAGAAGTGAATATATTATATATATAGTTATATAATTTAGTAATATTTTATAACATGTAAGGGCAATTTTGTAAAAATGCATTATAAACGGGGCGGGGAGGGGCGAGGTTACCCTCCCCCGGCCCCGCCCCGTCCCCCGCCGGGGTTTCAAATACAATCCCCATTCCCTCCCCAATTACATAAATGGGTCCCCAAACCCGCCATAATAGGGGCGGGGTGGGGCGGGGACCTGCCGGATATGGGGATTTTGCCATCCCTGCTTAAGAGGTGCTTAGTTTTAAGGCTTGGGATTTGGAAATGGAGCAATTTTTCAAATGCAATCACTTTAAAAGTGTGTTGCACTAGTGTACAGGAACCCCCTAGACATGAGGGAATTCGATTTTGTTTTCGGACCAACATCATCCTTGACTAAAAAAAAATAAAAATTGATTTTATATGATGGTATTTATACTTATCAAAAGTTAGTTTATTAAGTTACCATACGGTAGTATGGAAATCAAAATAAAGAACAAATGAAATAGACTATTGTTACAAGGGAAGACTTACGGATCAGATTCACATGGAAAGTAGAATAGGTATATATGGGTTAATTTCACCTAATAACTTATTTTTTTTTTTACTGAATTACGAAATACCCGACCCGTTACAACTACCTACCATGCCGCCGTTACGTTATTCATTTTTTTATTATTTTATTGATAGATAGATCTTATATCGTTCAAATAAAGGTTAAAGAACCCAAATGCGAGAGAAAAAGTGGAGATTAGTATAACTATATAACACGAGTGTTACATTATATAAAGTATATTTGCAATTAATTTTTTTAAAAATTCATTTGGTATCAATGCTGTTTAAAGTAATTCTATTGCTAATTTTAGCATAATGCCACACATACAACTCTCTTTTGTAGAAGTACAACTTACCTTCTGCAAATAAAAAAGAGAGAAAAAAACTCTTTTGTAGAAGTGTCCACTTTCTAAAAACCTTTACATAAAACTTGAACCAAATTACATAGATACTCCATGAGGTTAGGTTATTTTTCAAGTAAATGAAAATTTTGGTTTTAACTTTCATTTTTAACTTTTTGGCCTCAAACACATGCGAATTGACCTTTTTACCCTCAAAATTTTAATATAAAATATCTTTAATCTTAAACAACATAAATACCCCTATATATATATATATTTGTACTGCCCAAACCATCATCGACCATCAAGCTCTGCAGCGGGCGACCGTCGTTCTGAACAGAGCGAGTGGAACAGTTACAAATTTTAGCTAAAATCAGTCATATATATATATATATATATATATATATATATATATATATATATATATATTGCTTTCTAGCACATATTTGATTTATTTTCTATTAAATTCATATTTCATACGCTCTATCTCTAACGTTTTGCTTGTTTTTCTCATTTGGGTATAGAATCAATAGATTTTTTTTTTTCTTTTCTATTTTCTTTCTAGTAGTTGTACTTGTCCCATAGAAACTGAAAAGCTAGAAGCCATCCCACTGAACAACAAGCATCATGAACCAAGTCTTCGTACCTGATCAAATCCTCCAGTAACTTCGGGGTGAGTAAACAAGTTTACTCGTAGAGAATGAGCATGCATCGACTCGATTTCTTTAAAGATTTTTAGGACTAACATGATATAATTCAAAAGGGATCATGCCACCTAACGTCTATGTCAAAGATTAGACTCAGGGATCATCCAAGCTACTCATGCAATTGAAATGAAATACACGACATACAAGCATACTGGTTACAAGTATACTAAACGAAGATGAAAGCATGTGAGGTAAGTATATAAAATACAGGCATACTAACAAGATGGGAAACACACAAGGCTAGTATACAAGACAAGAGTATACTAAACGGAATCTAGGTACAAGAAGCAAGTGTGCAGTTCCAAGTATGCTAAACAAGATCTAAATACACAAGTAAGCATAACATCTATGAAATTAAACAAGGTTGGAACATTTCATATAACAAGAAAAGAGCTTTAAATCTTCAAGGAATAGCAACTTGAAATTTAAAGAGTGAAATCAACTAATGTGGAAACTTGGATATCGCCCGGATTAAAACCGTTCTCATAGGATCACTTTAGGGCTACTAACCCATGGGTACCTTCCCCGAATGCGTAGTGTAGAAAACCGTAATCTTGGGATTACTTTAGGGTTACTAACCCATGGATACCTTCCCCAAGTACACACTATAATGTAGGGGGACTTTCCCCCGTACTAGAACCAAGTCCTAAACATGTCAATTTTGATTGATATCACTAAGTTTCCAAAATTAACAAGTTGTGCAAGTCAAGAAATCATAGTATGCATCTACATGGACTACAAATTAGGATATATGTCACATAGAATCCATCGATGTAGAAATACCACAAGTATAATATTAATGATTTAATTATTTACTAAGCAATACATAGATAATTAAATCATTCAAAGACAATTGTGCTAGTTCATTAAGTACATTAATGAAACTAAGATACACGGGGTCTAGTTACATGTGAAAAGCTAAAAGTTCCGTGGAAGACAAGTTACAACTAAGTGAACTAAGTTCCATACAAGTAAGACAAGTAAGTGTAAGTCTCAAACTTATCCGATTAGTCTCAATTTAATACACGTGAAGGAACATGTTAAGGAAATCATATATGCAAGGTTAGAACTTAATCAAGTGCATAGAACCATTGTATGGATTTTAATTATTTTATTTAATTAAAATCCCTAGATTTTGAAAGTCATCCAAATGATCTCAAATTAATATATGTTATTAAATATGTCAAGACTTGATTTAAAAGCATGACACAAGTACATTCTATATAAGTTACGGCCATGTGTATTAACCTTTAATACAAGAAAAATAATAAATGAAAGGCTTCAAAACCAAATCAAATATTCTAGATTTAATATATGTGAAACTATATTGCATGCACATCAAGAATTTCAAGTCGAAAATCCAACGGGCAGAATAGTACACTTGGAGCAAATTAATTAATCTAATAAATTAAATATTACTAGATTTCCAAACTTCTCCGATTACTCTCAATTTAATTTATGTTGAAGAGCATGCTAGGGTCTAATATAATATGCTATCACATGTTGATTTAAAGCTAGATAAGGCCACATGATTTAATATTTTATTCAAGATAAATATTAAATAAAATCTTCATTTCTTGTCCAAATAATCTAGATTTAATATATGTCAATCTACATATCAAGGGGTAATATTCTATTATGCCACATAATTAAACAAAGTTATGGATAACCGGGAAAATTAAATCCTTCACAAGAAAAATAAATAATAAAATCTCTAGATTTTGAATCCAAGCATGTAATCAAGTTATATAAGCATCACAAGCATGTAATATAGCAAGAATTTAAATTATAACACCCCCTACCTCAATTTGAGATGAAAACCTTAAATCCCTACTGAAAAAAAAGTGTCTCGAATTCGCCGAAACCGAAGGATTTTGTCGGGGACAACACGATCTACATGAATCCGAAGGAAGCCCCATAAAAATCACAACTTAACCTCAAACCCAAAACTCAAGAAATGGTTAGAAATGAATTCTAATAAGGGGGAATGATAGAACACGTCGAGGGGAAGAATAAATATAAAGGCCGAATGATTTCTACCAAGGAAATCAAGTGGAGGAGAAGGAGAAAGGGTGGCAGCCAAGGAGCTCCCATGGCTGCCGGCCAAGAGAGTGGAGAAGATGAGTGAAAATCTGATTTTTCACTTTAGGGCATCCTATTTATAGTAAGTCTCAAAAACTGCCCCGAAAGGGCCCCACCAGGTCCAGAAAAGTGAATTTTGAGCAAACGCGCTCAAACGGCAAAACTTCGTGAACAAAAAAGATTCAAAATGATAAAATATGAACAAGGAAAGAAACAGCATCAAAAAACGAGTCCCGAGCAGAGAGTTATGCCCCGAACAAGTTCAGCGGCAACCGGGTCCAGAAACTCTGAAACTGGAGAAAAACGACCAGAAAGGAATTCTAAGAGTCCACGACTCGATGAAATGTGAAAATAAATCACATACGAGGATCCAGGCTCCAGACGAGACATTTTGCAATAACTTTCGTTAATTGCACAATGGCCCCTATAAAAAGGGTTAACTACGAAACTGCCCCAGAATGGAAATATCTTCCAAAAGATATTTTCTTAGATGCCCCTAAAATAAAATATCTTCAAAATATATTTACGAAAAACACTCCAAGAATTGAAAAAATTTCTGAAGAATTGTGCATCTATGCCCCTATGGACACCGGGAGCAACCAGAGTACTTTCTTGCAAAAGTAAAGATACGTATTTCGAGAAAATCA